CGCAAGCCTTGCTTGGCATGCCTTACATTGGCAATCTGCGCAGTCGCATAGCCAGGCTGGCAGCCACGTGCTGCAGCAGACCTCAGTCGGGGCACATGTATCTTGCCTTACATCAATAAGGCACAACAGTTTAGCACCTGTACCACATGGCCTCAGCTTTCGCATCAACACATACCATTTACAGCAAGCAATAGGATATGTCTTAAAGTCTGAGGGGAATGGTCTGCAGTGCAGTCCATGGGGGCATTCATCAGTCAGGAGGCATGGCACAGTTAGTCAAAGACAGTCTGCCAGACCAGTCACAGACTTCAACCACAGTCAGCTGCTTGGTCGGGGTAGTGTCACATGTCGGGGTAGTGTCACATGTCGGGCTGAGTATGGTCTGTGCCTCTGTGCTCCAGGCTTTGTCTCTAGAGGGACCAGTTGGGGATGGTGGCATGGGGACTATCGCAGTCAGGGACATGTATGTCCCCACACCAGGGATCTGAACAAGGGCTAGTACTGGCAGGCCACTTCAGGGGATGGGCCACAAAGGGGGAATGTGGGGAGTGCTGAGGACAGGTAGGCAGTTAAAAATCAAATGATACATGGTTTGAGTGATGACCTTGGGAAGTGTGAAGGCTGTGGTGTTGATGGAATGGGCACCTAGAAAGGATTGTGATGTTGGGAGTCTCAGCAGCATGTTAACGCTGAGGCTGCAAGCCACTGGCAGAGGACCATGCAAACCCCCAAAACATTACTTTGAACTTTAGATTGCTAATCATAAATCTGTTTTAACAATTTGTACAATTATTGAATTGACTACACACGTCTACGTATAACTCTTTGTATTTGTTTAGGAAAAAGGGGGATGTTGTGTTAAGTCTGATAGCTAGAGTACAATACACCTTTAAGGGACACACCCATGATCTCCAGCATATCATGGTATCTGACCTGATGATTAAAGGTCTCACTCTCCAGTTTGCGGAGTCCTTTTGCAGCATGACATACTGAGGAAAGTATCATATAGTTTACATCTAACTGAGCCCAGATATGCAGTTTCTGTGATTATATGTAGATGCCAGGTATAATAAATCTCTATTGAATCCTTCACTACTATGTTATCCACATCTCATTCATATGCTACAAGAGCTAAAATTAAGTATCATCTCAGCAGGTATTCATACCCTGAAGGTAAGAAACGCCCTTCACTGCATCCATGAGAGATAGAGAGTGAAGAACCGATCTGGGTTAAACAGTGACTGTTTATAAAGAAATGATTCCCAGATCTTAAATACCACAACATATCACATTAACAAGGATTTCAGGTCCTTGCTAACAAGGTGCTAAGCCTGATTTTACAAATTCGAATTAAGCATTCCTTGATCCCCTTATGTGGTTGCAACGAGGTTAATGATTAGTGAACTTTATCTTCAACTATCACAAATTCCTGCTGCTGACGATCCAAATTGTCTTTTCTTCTCGCATATGAACTCCCCGAAGTAATGTATATTCTCACCTGCTCCAAGCAAAAATGTAATTGTGAACTATTCCAAATGCATATCTTCTCTGTATACTTGTTAATTTGCTTTCAATTCCCGTTCAGGGTTTGGCTTGTGATACAAATTTTGTGACTTGGCTTAAACTAGCTTTTAAAATCATTATCTGGTGCTAAACAATGTTTGGGGTAAACAGCTTATTTAAAACAGCATTTTTCTGATGAAGGGTCTACGCCCGAAATGTCAGCCTTCCTTTGATGCTGCTTGGTCTGCTGTATTCATCCAGCTCTACACCTTGTTATCTCAGATTCTCCAGCATCTGCAGTTCCTACTATCTCTATTTAAAGTGCACGTTGTTTGGCCATACATTATAGTCATTTCATACGAATGGTGTATAGGTCTTAGGGCTCCTTGGGACTACTGTGTTAACCACATGTGAATAGCTTCTCCTTTTAGTACGAAAGTTTATAACTTAAAATGATGACAGCATCATCTACAAATACAGCAATACATCTGAACTTTAAAGTCACAGTCACTCTTATCCAGTAACATGATTTTTTTTTTTCTATTCATTCAGGGCATGTGGGTGTCACTGGATGGCCAGCATTTATTGTCTGTCCCTTGAGAAGGTAGTGTGAGCTGCCTTCTTGAATCGCTGCGGTCCACCTGCTGTGTTGACCCACAATGCCTCGAGAGGGAATTCCAGGATATTGACTAAGTGACAGTGAAGGAATGGGGATATATTTCCAAGACAGAATGGTGAGTGGCATTGATGGGAATGTGCAGGTGATGGTCTTCCCATGTATCTTCTGCCCTTATCCTTCTAGATGGAAGTGGTCCTGGGTTTAAAAGGTGCTGTCTGAAGAACTTGCAGCTGTGGTTGAGGGAGTGGATGTCTGTGAATGTAGTGCCAATCAAGCAAGCTTCTTGAGTGTTGTTGGAGTTACACCCATCAGGCAGGTGGGGATTATTCCATCACACTCCTGGATTGCAGCTTGTAGATGATGGACAGACTTTGGGAGTCAAGCAGCAAGTTACTTGCCATGATATTCCTAGCCTCTGATATACTTTTGTTGTCACTGCACTTATATGGCAAGTCCAGTTGAGTTTCTGGTCTATGGTAACCCCCAGGATGTTGATAGTGGGGGATTCAGTGATGGTAATACCATTGAATGTCAATGAGCAGTGGTTAGATTGTCTCTTATTGGTGATGGTCATAGCCTAGCCTTTGTGTGGTGCAAATTTTTAAATCTAAATGATTTGCTTTAGACCTGTAGCCTAATTGTAGGAATTTAGATTAACCAAGTCTCTCTAAACTTTGTAGTTTCCTTATTTCCCCCTTTGGAATTTAAATCACCAAAAATTGTTGTTGCTAATTGGAACTTAGAAACATCTGAAATTAAAATAAACTCCCCTTGTCTTTTGATAATTGTGGCAGGAAGCAGTATCCTCAAACACTGCATCACATTTTTAACCTCAAGATCTGTCCAATCTAAAACAGAATTCATTATATTTACTCCAACCATCTAAAATTAAATGTTTACCAAATCAGAAAATAGCACCTACTTTAATGAAAAAGAAATCAATTATGACATACTAAACTGCTTTAAAGACACATACAGGACTGACCACAAGGGGTTAAACTACTAAAATGACAGACATTGGCCTGCAAACACACTACAGGGGCTGTTTATCTAGCCTGACGCTCACTCCAGAACAAATTTGTGCGTGTTACGGATTCAGCAGCAGGCTTTCACAGTCAGTCTTTGGTAAACATTTGAACTAGTTGACAGGTGTCCCTTTTGAGGCTCACTGGCTATAATAGACAGGTCTTTATTTCATTCCAGGTGTGAGCCTTTCTCCTTTTACTCTGGTAGAGACCAATTTCACCCTATACTTAGCATTGGCAGCAACAAAATAATTCCCTGTCTCATCAAAACAGTGCAGTCCCAACTTTTGAACAAATCTGGAAAGTGACTAGGTGACTTTTGCCCTTGTGTTAATCTCCTGTTGCCTAAAGCGAGTTTTTCCAGTTACTCGTTAGTGAAATGAACTAAGAATTCCTGTTCCAAAACACCCAAAATCCTGTCCTGGGTAAACAGCCCTTTATTCCCTACTTGGTCACAACCAATCCCTGTTTTGCTGTAACTTACCTCACCTACCAATGATTGTGATATTGATTGGTCTGCCGTTGATCCTTGATTGTGTTCAAAACCCAGTAGGCAGCCGTAATATCTTCTTGAAGTTCAGCTTCAATTATCTGTTGTCCCCCTCAATTTTTCCCCTTCCTTTGATATGTCTGCATAACAAGTCTTCAGGAATACCACCTTGCAGCTCACACCCTGTCCATATCACGATGTCATTCCACATCTAATTTATCCCTTTTTGTAGTAGACTCTTATCCTGTCAATTACATCTACCTGTCATCTGAATTCTAACTTCAACTGGGTATACTTTCCCCCTGCTGCTGCTCACCTTTAGGCCAACAGCAGACTGCTTTCTTTTGCCTACCTGGACCTCTTCCTCCATTGTTCCCCTTTACCAACCGGGTCATCTAAAATCTGTGCAACCTGAATCCACCCTAGAAATTCCACTACCACCAAACAAAGCAAGTTAATAATAGCCTAAACCTGCATTTTTCATAGCTTCTTCTGGTTACTATTGCTTTTAACACCAGCTCCTGAACACACTAACAGACTAAACATTGACAGACTCGCACATACAAACTAGTTTTCAGCCTTTGACTTTTCCCACAACGTTCCAAACCACTGTGGTACTTCCTGTATAATTTCTACCAACCTCTCCCTAACTCTTGTCCAAGTTTATTTTGCCACTAATTCTATTATTGGTAGACTATCGCTTCTGAACTTGTTTTTTCAGCCCCAAGTACAATTACAACCACCCTCTTATCTTCCTCGTCTCTTTGCTGGACATCCCTCTTGACTTTTTTGCTTTTTCGGTGGATCCCTGGGGATCCTTTTCTTTTCATTTTATCTATTGATTTTGTTTTCATTTCCACCAGAATTTTAGTTAGTTATTGACCCCTTGGGTTCCCAACTAAATGTGTTGTTTTGTTATCACAAATTCCCACTCCTATCTTTATGACGCTCATATCCTGCCTGATTTTCCCTACTATTGTATAATGAACAATGTATAATGAATGACTGGATAGCATCTGTGCTCAGAAGCTTAAAATTGTAAAACTCACGTTTTCCTTCCCTGGGTTTCAACCACTACTTCCAACATATACATCAAGTGTTGGGAGGTATATTAAGGTAATCAGTGGTGATTCTCTCCTAGTGGGAAGTGCCTAGTTTTATCATAATCCAAACCTGTAGGCAAGAACACGCACCTTACTACCACAAGAGATTTTAGAGCCACAGACAATGTTCCATATGTTACTTTCTCACAATTTAGTTATCAATCTAAGTTTTTAAGCAATGAATGTACAAAATTGGCAAGTTTACATGGTATTGCATTTGCCAAGAAATCCATTAACAGAAACAAATTGTGTTTGCCCCAGATTCCATTTCTGCAGAATTATAATACAGCACTGTGGAGGTTCAGACATTTCTCACCTTTATTTCTCATTTATTAGAAATAACTCAAAACCCTGCACTATACCATCATCTATGTTACTTTGGCCAATAATTCATTTTGATATATTACATAAATCATTTATGTTGTATAGTATAACTACTTTTCTCAAAATAGTGTTAAACTCTTCCTGCATGATGATCAAATATTGCAGAACATTTAAGGCCACATGGGTTTGTCACTTGGTAACATTCTATCCACATACGATCTGTACAGTTTTAATTATATGCCTACAGAATATGTCAATTACTTAATAATACTTTCATTTTAAACAAATTTCATACATTCATTTTAAACCTAATTTCAGAAAGACACTTTAAAATGACCCAAATGGGTTACATGTGTGAACATTCTCTACACATTTACACAAAATTAGTTGATTATGGATGTGTAACTTCCCTCTGCTCAGCGTTAGTCATCCATTCATTAAATATTTTGTCCATCATATTCCTTTCCTGCCAGCTTCCATTGTTAACCGTAGGAATTATTTTATCTGGTTTCAACCACTGTACAAATCTCTTCATCTCAAGGTAGCTACTATGTTCACTGTAAGGAACACCTGCAAACATATCACAGTTGTAGAAATAAAAATCAGAAATTAATAATAGGATGGATGTTAATTCTAGGAGCAAATTACTGCAGATGCTGGAATTTGAAATGTAAATAAAAACTGCTGGAGATCACAGTGGGTCAGACAGCATCCATGTAAGAAAGCAAGCTAACGTTTCGAGTCCAGGTGACTCTTCATCAGAACTGAAGTGAAATCTGGAGGGGGCAGCATTTATGCACAAGTGGGAGGAAGGGGTGATTGGAGTGCTGGGCGAGAAAGGATGTTGATAGTTCAGATTAAGTGATTGGAATGAGAGTATGACTGAACCATGGCATGTCTAACTGCCAGACTGGGAGGAACAGACAGTCCCAACTGAGGTGGGAGAAGGGAAGAGAGGGTAACAGCGAATGTAACAAACAAAGCTAAAAGAAGGGGAAGGAATGGGTTCACAATTTGAAGGTGTTGAACTCAATATTGAACCCAGAAGGTTGTAAGCTGCCTAGTTTGAAGATGAGATGTTGCTCCTCCAGTTTGCGTTGTGATTCTCTGGAGTATTGCAGCGTGCCAGGACAGACAAGTGGGCATGGGAGCAAGACACTAAAATGACCAGCTACGGGAATGTCAGGGTCATGTCCACGCACGGATCAGAGGTGTTCTGCAAAGCTGTGATGCTGCCCCCTCCACACTTCACTTCAGCTCTAATGAGAGTCATCTAAATTCAAAATGTTAGCATGCTTTTTCTCCATGGATCCTGCCCGCTGTGCTCGCCAGTATTCTTGGTTTTCATTTGGATGTTAATTCTACCTTCCCCTCCATCCAACAGCAGGGTACTTATTTATTTTGTAATGTATTATTCTCCACTTGTCATTGAGATTTGTTTTTAAGTTGCTGTTTAATTATTAAAAATCTAGGCAAAAGATTTTAAATTGTTGGGTGACTTGAATTGCACTTGATTCTTCAAGTAAGTAAACCTTTACCTTAGCCCACAAAAATAAAAATGAAACTAAGTGAAGTTTCTTTTTTAAACTCACCAAATTTAAGATAAAAATTTGAGTGGAAGGATGAGTGGGAAGGAAGAACACGAAATTGAACAAAATATAAATGAATCATAGCACTGTTTCATTCAAATATGAATGGAATTTCACTTTTTTTGTTATTGCTTTACTGTAAAAAGGATTAAACGAACACGACTCAAAATTGAAATAAAAGCAAATTACAATGGATGCTGGAAATCTGAAATAAAGCCAATTTGGAAACAAACATAGCAAAGAAAACCAAAAAAAAAACTGTGGATGCTAGAAATCAGAAACAAAATCAGACCCATTCTTAAGAAAGGTCACTGGAACCAAAACATTAATTCTGCTTTCTCTCTACAGATACTGCCAGATTCATCAGTTTTCCCCGGAATTTCTGATTTTGTTGGAAAAAATTAACTGGTAGCATTTGTGGACAGAGTGACAGAGTTAATATTTCAAGTCCAAAGTCTGTTCTTTGGAGATGAAGGGCCTGGATATTAATGGTTTTTATGCTGTTGACAAAGTGAAAGAGACACAAATGGGATAGATTCTGATGATACTCAGAGCAACAGACAAAGGAATTACTAATGGTGGAAAAATAGATGTGAATGGTGACAGCAAAGCCAATAAGATGCAAACAGACTTTGCTCTGAAATTATTGTTCTAGTGCCTGAGCAGAAAATCAGATGCCACGTCTCTAGCTTGCATTAAGCTTTGCTGGAACACTGCAGCAAACCTAGAAAATATTGTCTTAAGAACAAGAGGGTTTAATTGAAATGGTAAGCAACTGGAAGGTCAGAGAGATGCTTACAGACAGAGTAGAGGTATCTGCAAAGCAGTCACCCAGACTGCATCCAGTCTTGCTAATTCTAAGGAGACCGCATTGAGTGCAGTGAAGATAATAGACTAGATTGAAAGAAACACAAGTCAAACATCGCTTCACTTGGGCAATGAGAAGGGACAAGGTGAAAGGGCAAGAGCTACATATTCTGTGATTGTGTGGGAATGTGCCATGGGGAGTGATGGAGGAGTGGACCAGGATGTTGTGGGAAGGAATGGTCGTAGTGGAATGCTGACAGAGGCATGGTGGGCAAGAGACAAGAAATGATGTCTAGTGGTGGCCCCTGCTGGGAGTGGCAGAAATGTCAGGCATTCAATCTCTAAATGGAAACATTAGTGGAATGGAAAGTGAGGACAACAGGAACCCTGCCCTTATTCTGGGAGGGAGAGGATGAGGGCAAAAGTGTAGGAAGCGTGTTGGATGTTGTCAAGGGCCTGGCAACCAGGGTGGGGAAGGGGGCAATCCTCAGTTGATGAAAAAGGATAACACGTCAGAGGCACCCCTGTGGAAGGTGGCATAATTAGAACAGATGCGACAGAGAATCTTGGAGATTTGAATGAAGTTCTTACAGGAAGCAGGGTGTAAGGAAGTGTAGTCAGGGTAACTTTTAGAGTCAGTGGATTCATAACGGATATTGGTGGACAGCCTATCCCCAGAAATGGAAACAGTGAGGTGAAGGACGGGAAGGAAAGTCAGAGATGGACCAGGTGAAAAAGAAAGGAAGTTGGAAATTGGAAGCCAGTGAGGAATATTTCCAATTCTGGTTGAGAGCAGGAAGAAGCGTGCATTAAGTCTTCAAAATCCTAGAGAAAGAACTCTGGGGTCCTCCCTTCAAAAGAAGCAGCAGATAGCATTCAGACCATCTTAATGGGGATTAGATGTGTAGAGTGACTGCATATCCATGGTGAAGAAGCAGCAGTTGAGGCCAGGAGACTGGAGATTGTGGAATAGATGTAAAGCATCAGAAGAATCACAAATGCAATGCGCATGGGTAGGCACTATGAGTTTGGAAGCTGTGGAGGGAGATCTCCAGTGGAGACAAAGTCAGTGAAAGTCCTAGAAACAACAGTTTGATGTTCAGGTCATGGCCCAGGAGCGATATTGTAAAGACCAATATCTTTCTATTTTTCAGTAGTTTTGGTCATGGACTTAAACGGGAAAGGAATGGTTTTAAAACCAAGAATTGTTGAAGAATTGCTGCGCTTTTGAAATCAAATAACTTAACACTCATTGTGAGTACCGTTTACCATCAGCTTGAACCAGCAGCTGTGTTTGCAAATGAACTGCAAACAAGATAAAAACCAAAAAAACTGTGGATGCTGTAAATCAGAAACAAAAACACAAGTTGCTGGAAAAGCTCAGCAGGTCTGGCAGCAACTGTGAAGAGAAATAAGACTTAACATTTCGAGTCCGGTGACCCTTCCTCAGAACTGATGGTAGCTAGGAAAATGTCAGTTTATATGCAGAAGATAGGATGGGGAGAGGGGATAAGGAGTAAACAATAGGTGGGGAAAGAGCCCAAAGAGACAGAAGAACCATTGGACAAAGGAGTGGATAACAATCTGGCTAGGAGGGTGAGTAGCTGTTAATGGGGACTGTCAGTGGCTAACAATAGGTAGTGTGTAATTGCAGGCTATGTGATAACAAGTTCTGGTAGCTAGGAAAATGCCAGTTTATATGCAGAAGGTAGGGTAGGGGAGGAGGTAAGGAATAAACGATAGGTGAGGATAGAGCCCAAAGAGAGAGAAGAACAGCTGGACAGACAAACAAGAACAAAAACACAAGTTGCTGGAAAAGTTCAGCAGGTCTAGCAGCATCTGTGAAGAAAAAAAATCAGGTGCTGCCAGACTTATTTAGCTTTTGCAACAACTTCTGTTTTTGTTCCTGATTTACTGAATCTGCAGTTCTTTCGGTTTTTATATGAGCAAACAAGAGCTGTGTACAAGTGGTGATCTGGCTAGCAATAAGCAGCTGATTGGTCCGTGCGTTAGTGAGCAGCTATCAATGACAAAGGCCTTCTGCCTGCCAACAACTGAGAGACTGGGACAACCCTTTAGAACCGAGATTAAAAGGAATTTCTTCAGCCAGAGGGTGGTGAATCTGTGGAAATCATTGCCAGAGAAGGTTGTGGAGGCCAAGACATTGAGTGTCTTTAAGTCAGAGATAGACAGGTTCTTGATTATAAGGGGATCTAGGTTATGGGGAGGAGGCAGGAGAATGGGGTAGAGAAACATATCAGCCAAGATCAAATGGTGGAATAGGCCCCATGGACCAAATAGCCTAATTCTGCCCCTATATCTTACGGCTGGTTCTCAATTGGCTGAACAGCTTGGGATTGTGAACAAGATTGGGAGAAGTCATCAGATCTCCAAAGGTTCAGGAGCTGTTTGTTCTCTGCAGTAAAAACCATTTTAAGCCTTAAGAATACCAGTTTAGTTTTCTTTCACCAGTTGATGTAAGCTGTGATTTTTAAATAATAATTTAAGGCTTAAATCTGTGTGTGAATGTGTTGCCCTTTGCCTCCTGCAAACAAGTGGAAGGACCCGGAGAAGGACAACTGAGAAGCAGCATTCTGACCAGCACATCAATCACCTCAGCAAACCCTGTGAACAGGGACCACTAAACTGCTTTCCCACACTTCTCTCTGCCCATGAGAACAATATTATTTTCTTGTTTGTCTGTATGTGTGCAAGGTGGAGTTTTAACTAGTAGAGTTACATGCCAACGGTTCATAATTGTTCATTTGTTGCTAGTTTATTATTCGTAATAAATAGTGATTTAAGTACAGAAACTTGATCTGTGCTTTCTGACAACGTGGGTCTGAAAGTCAAGTAAATTGGGGAATTCTGCATACTTTAAAAATTTTTTTTATCATTTATGACGACATCGGGAATAGCAAGGCTCAACTTTCAGCACACTAGCCCAGTGAGGTGTAAGAATAGAGGAAGGTGCCTGAGAGTTGGCGCTCAGTCTCTACAAGGTAGAGGTAGAGGTAGAGGTTGGCATGCCATACAGCAAAAGCATCACCCTTGTCAGCAGATTTATAATGAAGCCAGCATTAGATCTGAGAAAATGAGTGCAAAAAGTTCACAAGGAGTCAAGTTAAAATGTTTGAGGATAGTAGAAACATTAAGACGGGCAAGGACAATTCTCAATGAGGAGATCAAGTGCAAGTCGTCAGACAGAGGGGAAGTATTGGAGACAGGTGAAAGGGTCCACAGAGCTGGGAGAGGACTCAAGACTTTACTGTTCCACCTTTACTATATGCACAAAGCTCACAAAAGAAATATACAGAAAATAATTCTAAATGGCAGAATATTTACCTACCATAAATTGTGAACTTTCCTTGAACTCGAGGTTTGATGTCATGCATTGTACCACCCAGGCCTGAGTATGCCCATCCAGTTGGTTTGAATGCTACAATTTGATCATACTTTCCTGGGAACTTGTTCATGTGTGCTTGTAAACCCTAAAATAGGAAACATTATTTAGAGGCACAACAAAATGGAAGGTTTGCATAACAAACTTTTATGAACATTTGATCTTGCCTTTATGGTCTAGATTTTGATTATATGATTTGGAGTTGGTATGAGAAAACCTACTCTGAACTCAAATTCAGGTCTATTAACTTGGAAAGCCTAATTATGTATTAAATGCAACTGCTTAAATGACTCAACACTCGGAGAGGCTTGGAGTACAAGAGTAAGGAAGTCTTAATGCAACTGTACAAGGTGCTGGTAAGACCACATTTGGAGTACTGGGAGCAATTCTAGTCCCCTTATTTAAGGAAAGATATCATTTCATTGGAGGTAGTTTAGACAAGGTTCACTAGTATCATCCCCAGTACACATGGATTGCCTTATGAGCAAAGGCTAAAGAGGTTGGGTCTCTACATACTGGAGTTTAGAGGAATTGGAGGTGATTTCATTGAAATATTTGGATTCTGAAAGGAGCTTGGCCTAGGGTAAATCAAGAATGTTTCCCCTCATGGGACAGTCTAGGACTAGAGGGCATAGTCTAAGAATAAAGGGTGCAAATTTAAGATTAAGAATGAGGAGAAGCCCTTCTCTCAGAGGGTTGAGAGCCTTTGGAACCCCTTGCCACAAAGAGCTATGGGAACAGAGACCTTTTGTATATTTAAGGCGGAGATAAATAGATTCTTGATCGTAAGGGGAATTAAGGGTTATGAGGAAAAAGGAAAGTGGATGCGATGAATGTTAAATCAACCATGATCCTACTGAATGGCACAGCAGGCCAGAGTGTTGAACAGCCTATTTCTGTTGCTATTTCTTATAGTTAGCACTCAAATGAGAAAAAAAGAACAGGGATTAAAAAGAACAATATGGGGTATTGAAAGCACAAAAGCTAGCCAACCGTACACTAATTTTAATGACTAAATTTCCAACATTCACATGCTTTCATATTAAAATGAAGATCCAATCACCAAATAAATTTCAATGGTTTTCTTACTAGAAATTTGTCCTCCTTCAGTGTGTTTCATTCCTTTCAGCTTTAATGATTATTTGGAAGTAGTTTATTCTTTTTATAGCTATTTAGAAACTGCAGCTCCATCAGTAGCTTTTTATGCTATTGGAGCATCAAATAGTTGTGCTTTTAAAAGTGCAGGTCCCCATTAAAAGTACTTCATCTCTAGCCATAAATCTTAATACAAAGCAAAGAATCCTCATGTCGGTCAGCTTTTCACAGAAACTGAAAGTTGCCCCTAGCATTTGCTTGCAAATGAATAAGCGACTAGAATTCTGCTAGTTGACACGCAAAGGATGTTAAGAATATGTGACAACTTTCACAGCCATTTTCCTGATTGAATATAAAAAGAACGAATTGAAAGATCGTATTACAAAAGCAAAATACTGCAGGTGCTGAAAGTCCAAAATAAACAAAATTGCTTAAAATATTCAGCCAGTCAGACTGATGATAGGACTTCAGCTTGAACATAACTCCAGAAAGACAATATAATTACCACATATAAACCTTTTCTTCAAATTAGCAGATATGGCTCCACAGAGAAGAATGAATATTCAATCACACAAAAATTTATTTCCTCGTGAACAATTTTATTTAACAGGTCCAATCAGAAAATTTTGTTGCAGTTGACAAGGAAAATATTTCAGGAAGATGTGGTGCCATCATCCCAAAGACTTAGAATCTGACAGGACAATTATGGAAATCAGCATCCACGGCTCTTTGAGTTTAGTTCAGTTATGGAAAATATGGTCAAGGGATAGAACACGGGATCAAGATTTCCATGACTATATACTAGCCTACTCTGAATTGGCAGCTTACAGTACATTAGGAAAACTTTTACATAAAGATCCACTAATTACGTAGTAATTTATAAAAATAATACAACTTTGTACCCACAATACTGTGAGGAAGAGATCTGAAATCAGTCAATCATGACTGCTATGTTTTCTTCAAGTCAGTGCTTTGTGCAACAGGATTAAGAACTTGGGTGTGATCAGAAAATCTGTCACTGAAAACTACCATTTCAATCATTTTGAAACTTTATATTCAGCTATACAACACATAAAAGGAATTTAGTTTTACACAGTACTTCTGTGTTGTTTGGTGAATCAGCTTGCTTCAGTAGCAACATTCTCTCAAGACAGGTCAAAACCCTTTTCCATGTTATCACATATCCAGGCTGATCCTTTGGTGTAGTATAGCATTATTGGAGGTGTTATCTTTCACAGGGAATGCTCAACTATGATTGGAATAGTTTACATCCATTTGACAGACACAATTAATTTTTTTTTTTTTTAAAAGAAGAGAAGCAGGGTCTTCAACTGATGTCCTGGCCAACATTCATTCAACAAACACTATTTTGTGATTATTCTTCATACTACTGTTTCCAAATTACTGGTTGAATTTCCGCAGAAAGCATTGCAAAAGTAATTTGGGATAACTTGCCAGAATTATTTAAATGCACGTTCTTTCTTCTCTTTTATTGAATTAGCACGTATTACATGTTTGTGTTAAAAAAGCGCTCATTGCAAATTTAAAGCTCACGTTACCATGCACCATGTGGAGGCATTAAATAGTGGGTAGCAGCAAATGTTTTGTGTATCAGCAGACAATGATCATAATGTGAGCAGAGTTTGTAGAGTGTTTCACATGTAGAAACTGAAGTGAAGGATGGGTTATTGGGGTGTGTGTATGTGTGTTGGTGGTGGAGGTGGTGATGGTGTTGGTGGTCTAGGCAGCTGTTGCATGCACTTGTTCATGGCAAGTAAGGCCCTTCCCAGAACCAAGCCTCAACAAGCAGCTTGAAAAGCAGCTGTAACAATAAATGCACTCCAATAGATGCTGGTACGAGACACTCAGAAGGCATGAAACAGAAACACTCTCCATAGGCGTACTGTGCAAACAATGACCTCCTCGGACTTATTCAAGCAATGCCACTTGAATGAGCATACCCTCCCAGTAGCTGTGAAATTGACAGTGGCTTGGATAATTTCAAGGGGTGGCAGGAGACCCAAGTCAAATGTACAATAAATAGCTTATAATAGCACCAGCAAAAGTGACTGATCCCCTGTACTTGTGGGCAGGGTGCACAGAGAGTAGACTGATGTGACCTCACAGAGATGATGATTGTGAGATTTGCCTCCATTGTTGGATTTCCTCAGGTACCAGGGCAAAGGGCTACAATCAGTCGAGCAGTCAAGAGGAGTTCATCAATAAAGGGAATTCCACTCTTTTTTCATGTTCATTTGGTGTGCCTCCACTACCAAATGTGTGCATGATTTCCTGGTAGCTGCCATGATACTTTTATCCAGAGGTAAATCGCAAGTGCCTCAATTGGTCAGGCTACTTAAGTAATTGGCTGCTATGGGGCAAAGGTTACTTGTTGAAGAAATAACTGGTGACACCTAAGTGTAACCTTACAAGGCAGGAACATAGGGAGTAAACTGCCACCATCTAAGTACAGGGGCTATCAAAGAACAGGTGGCGCTCCTGAAACTGTAGAACAGCATTAGAGTTTATCCTTTAATTTTTGTTAAGATGAGGAGGGAGTACATGCCCATTCCATGGGAACAGTAAATTCCCTTCACCTTGTCTTGCACAGATTCCCATCTCGCCATCACTGACTTCCTAATGAGCTGCCACTTAAGCAATGTCAACTATCATCGCCTCCATGAACACAATATCGAGATGTATGACTCCTCCAACGGACCAATTGCTTTCTTGCAAGTTGTTCACTTTTTTCTTGCAAGGTCAAGAGGGAGAAAGTGTTAATATCATGGCCCCCCACCTTAACTGTGATCAGTGTTTCACTCACATGCACTGTCATCATCTCAGAATCCTTACAATGTGGAAACAGGCCATTCAGCCAATTGGATCTGCACCAACCTTCCAAAGGACATTCTACCTAGACCCAGCTCCCCACTCTATCCCTGTTATCCTGAGTTTACCATGGCTAATCCGCCTAGCTTGTACATCCCTGGACATTACGGGGCAATTTAGCATCGCCAATCCATCTAACTTGCACAGCTTTGGACTTTGGGAGGAAACTGGAGCATCAAGCAGAAACCCATGCAGACACGAGGAGAACTTGCAAACTCCACAGTCGCTTAAGGCTGGAACTGAACAGATCAACAGCTCATTGAAGCACTTCCTGCACTTCATCCGTAATATACTGGTAACACAATCTCAGAATTATTATGGCACAGATGGAAGTCTTTTGGCCCATTGTATCTGCAACAGCTCTCGGCATATTTATTTGGTGCCAATCTTCTTGCACACTTCCAGGCAGTCAATTTCATACTGAACTATTCACTGTGACAAAGTTTTTGTTCGGTTCGCATTTGCTTCTTTAGCAAAAGACTTTAAAAATGCACCCTTTGGTTCTCAATTCAAAGAGTGGGTACAGTTTTTCACTATCAACTTTTCCAGGCCTTTGATACTTTTGAAGGCTTTCTTCAAATCTCCCACTTGCCTTTACTTTTCCAAAGGGGGAAAAAAAGATCCAACTTCTCCAATCCTTACTTCTAACTGAAGTGTCTCATCCTTTGAAACATTCTTGTAAACTTCTTGTGCACTGTACCTAATGCATTCTCATTCTGCCTACAGAATAGCACCTATAATGCCCCTACTGATGAAACCTTGAATACTGTGTGCTTTATCAACAGCACTCTATCCTGCCATCTTTAATGATGTATGCACATATACAACCAAGTCTGTTTGCTCCTGCACACTCTTTAGAATGGTATCCTTTATTTTGTACCATCTCTCTATGTTCTTTGTACCAAAGTGCATAGCCTCTCACGTTGTGGCACCAAACTTGATTTGTCACCTATCCACTCACTCCAAAAACGTGTCAATGTTCTTTTGAGGTTCCACACTGTCCTCCTCAGTTTACAATTCTCCCAAGTCCTGTATTGACTGTAAACTTTGAAGTTTGTGTCGAATGTCTGGTGTCAAGACCTAGAAATGGTCCCCAGTCAGGATAGAGCAGCACTGTGCTTCAATTAAGACTTAATCCTACCACTTTTCAATTCAGAAGAGTATATCATTCTCACTGAAATCACTACAGAAATGAGCAAGTTTGATATTCGTGGCTTTCTTACCTTTTCTTGCTGAAATAGCTACATGTTCAAACAATGCACAGAGTATCGCCTGCAACATTTTACTTGTGTGAATTGGACATACTGGCTTAATAAGCATATTGCATAAAACTGATAAGCTAATTATTTGTAATGTATACCTTAATTACCAAAGAGCAAATCTATAAAAGTCTATCGTTACCGCCTGTTATCTACCAATTATAACATTAACCACATTAAAAATCAAGGAGAAAAAACATTCAGCACAACAGATAAAAAGTGAACAATAGATAAGGCTAACTTAATATCCTTTAATAGGGCAGAGTTTCATATCATCATAAAGTGAATCACTAACTAGTTTTACTGTGTTAATGTTGGGTATTCAAATTACAGACCAGTTTGTGGGCTCCAGGATCAAACACCAGGAAAATACTTTAGAATGGAAATTAATCTTTCAGAGTAATTTTTGTAAGGTCCTATCCTTTTCACTTCTATTGCTAAAGCCATTCTATGTGCTTCTGTAATATTGAGTGTAGACAACGTAGTTTACTAAATTTTTTTCCTTAATCTCCCTGGAGGTTAGGAACAAAATAGGAAACTTGCTTATTTACACATTCAATTACCTGAGAACTAAACCATCTGTAATATGTCTTATGATTCAGAGACCTTTAGATCAGAATAGAGCAAAGATTGGTCTGGTTTAAATTATAGCACTGTACAAAATACTGAAACGTATTTATCTCTTTTTTTACACAGGAGAGGTATCCCATCTTGTTGAAACAGCTTAATTAGCTCCTACCAGCTTTCACAGGAAACCATAAACTCAGGAAGTATATAGAGGATATCCCATAGAGACTAGTAAAATTTAACATTATCTCTCACGTGAGAAGCCCAAATAACTTAAATATTTTCCGGAGTTAAAGGGCACTCTAAATTGGACAAAAATGAATCCCAGCTTTCTACTTTATACCAGTTAACCTTTTAAATGTCAACCATATATAGACTACAAAATACCTAGAAAATTGTGCCAATTATAACAGAATTTAGCAGATAGTGCTTTACTTTTCAGCTCTGTTCAAGGAATTGTCACCAGTTGTCTAATTCAAGTATCAAATGGTTTTGACACTCTGTTTCACTGTTTGCAAAGCAGAATACGCATACTATCACAGCGCTGCTGGCAATCAGATGCAAAGATTAAAATTTTACTATTCTCCTTGAGTCCCAACACTTTCCCCTCCTACTATAATACCTTCCTTAAAAGTCTACCTTGGTGACCAAATCACCCCACCTAACAGTCTAGATTTTGTAGTCAAAGACAAAGCAAAAGCATTCACTAGTAACTTCAAAGAAAATTAAGTCCAACAGCAAATATCAGCAAGTATGGCAAGCAGCCAAACACAGGCAGCAAACTGGAAGTTGAGCATTCCTGCCTCTCTTCATTTTAGGATTTTTGGATTTTGAATAAATGATTGAATGAATATAAGAAGCTAAATTACGAACAAGCTTCAAAAATATTTTGGAACTGTGGAAATTATGAAGAAATTTGACATGTCACAAATATAAAATTAACTTTTCAGGACCAGAAGTTATTTATAAGTAAATAGGAATATAGTATGCTACTTAAAACACAGCTGATTCTATAAGGTGCAACTTTTCAAGACTGAGAAACGGGATATTTTCAATCAATTCACAAATTACTTTAGTGTTGCAATTGGTGACGGAGCATGGAAGGGGCAAGAAATACCCCAAGTACAGAAGATCAGAAACATTGACTGTGATTTGTTATTGTGTGTGTGCAAGCTCTACAAATTGCTGTCAATTTCTGTGTAATAATCACCACAAATACAGATGTTTTCTCCATCACTACCACTGCAAAGTTCAGGCCATTAACTCTCTCTTAGTACCTTTTATCCCAAAAACAAAAGTAGTTTTATTTTCTTGAGCTGGCAAGGCCAGGATTTGTTGTCCATCTCTAATTAACCTTGAACTAAGTGGTTACCTAGGCCACTTCAGAAGGACAGTAAATCACATCACTTGATCTGGAGTCATACGTATGCCAGACAGGCAGGAATAGCAGATTTCCTTCTCTAGATAGCATTAGTGAACCAGATGTTGTTATTAGTGAACCAGACATGCGTGTTTTTTTTTAAAATATGAGTCGTTCTTTCTTGGGTACAATTATTGGGACTAGCTTGCCAGATTTATTACAGGTAAATTATACAAACTCTTACGGTTGGATTTGAACCTATTACCCCTATTTGTCCAGTTATATTACCAGTATGTGATATTACCAGTGATATTACAAATTCCCACAGTTGGGTTTGAACCCACACTTGTCTGGTGATATTACCAGTATGCTATCTTCTCCCCGTTATACGATAAAGTAAAGAAAATCACATGATGAGAAATACAATCCACTCAAATCAACGAAAGAAAAAAATACTTTTTATAGCATTTTTCACTGCCACCAGATGTATCAACGTACTTTACAGCCAATTAAATACTTTTGCAAATGTAGTTACTGTTGTAATATAGGAAGTGTATCAGCTGTTGTGAACATAAACAGCAATGTGATGATGACCAGATGACCTGTTTTTGTGGTCTTGATTGGGTGATAAATATTGGCCGAGGCACCAAGGATATTTTTCACTCTCTTCCTTTAAAAATAACAACATAGTATCTTATACATCTGTCTGAACAAGCAAATAGATGAAAGCTCAATTATCACTATTACTTTGGATATTTCCACTGCTAGCATCCACATACTAGTTACTTACAAGCTTTTGAAAATGAAAACTAATAGCCATTAGCAAGGTAGACTTTCACTTAACACCAAAAGAACAAAGAACAACAAATGGCAAAGCTTTTGAGAGCAAAAGGTCGCATGAAACATAAATAACCATAACATGAACCACCCAAGTTCAATAAAATTGCAAATGCCAGAAAGACCTGCTGCAGGTTGAATAAGTAGATGGCCTGCAGGAACTAACTAGGGTATTTGCTTAAGTGTAGGTTTCAATAAAATGGCAGTCAACTAAAATGTTATGGACTCAGATAAACATTTGACCCTTCTAACCTGAAAGATAAAACCTTGCTACAAGATGGAAGAATCAAGTCTATTAATATCAAAGAAGTTCAAGCATCGTAAGGGCAATTGAGAGGAAGAATAAGCAGTCTAATCCTTTAAACTACTTATATATTTTTAAATCATTAAAATGTACCATTCACTTGTTCTTAATCCTAGCCTCCTGCAGGTGAGTAGTGGGTGTCTGATTTCGTTAGGAAAGAGTATTGTACCAATACCAACATTGGCAAAAAGATATACCGGAGGAGGTTCATGAGCTAATTTCCTGGGACAAATTCTTGAAGATACCACATTCTGAGATAGCATGCGACTACAAACAAGTGAGTCATGAAAATCTTGCAGCTGAGAAGTTAGTACTTTATATTGACAAATGTGTACCTTGCAATTGAACCTAAGGAACTTCCTTATGATAACAAAGTAGTTAGCATTCTTGTGTGCTACTGGTAGCAACTACTGTAGATATTCACCAATAAATACAAAAGTCTTAAAACAGGACAGATATTGATCAATCCAGTCTGCTCCTGTAGAAACTGTATGCTTTACTCATATATCATAGCAATCAAGAATCTCAAGACAAAGAACCCGTAGCGGAAAAGTACAACAATGCCATTAGCACTGTAATGCAGGAATAGGAAAATATATTGACGGCACCACTTATCTGCAGTGTTATTACATTTTAATTTGTTTTGTTTGCAAATGGCTTCCACATAAATTAGCCTACACTCTTGCAGGCTGTCAACATGCCAGATGAAGCATGCAAAGTTAGCTTTCAATTAGACTATAGGTAGAGTATGTGCTTTCTTCCAGTTTCTACTTCACCTTTAAAGTATCACACCCGTGTACACGTATAAATCTATGGGGTGGATTTGCATTTGCAGACTTGTAATTGCAGATATATTCTATTTTGTTCAAAAAGCACGAAATTTGTAGACAATCAATGTGGCATACTATAAATTCCTACTTCGGAAATAAAACCAGTCGGACTCCAAATTGATACACAGCCAGATCCTAAACAAGGCCTCACACCTAACATACATTGTCTGACCTAGGATGTCACCTCTGGTATACTGAGGGAATTAATAAAACCTTTAGTTATCTCGGGGCAGTGACATGAAAGAAATTCAGGAATTTGCATATTAATCCTTTCTAACTGACTCAAGATTTACAGCCATCTTAGGTTAGTTCAACACTGCATCAGTTCTGTGACCCTTCGATCTTTTGCTTATAAATTCAGTGTCCAATACCACCTCTCTCACTGAGGAGAAGGAATGAGACTCCGAAAGGTTGCGTCTTCAAATAAACCTGTAGGTCTATAACCTAGTGTCGTGTGATTTTTGACCTAATTTCTATAGATTATAGCCAGTGCTTTACGTGCAAAGCTTATAATGCCTTGTAGAAAGAAGTATTCATGATAACCTACCTTAAAGGTAACTTGCATCATAGGTAGTAAATGAAGTTGAGAGCTTTCCCAGTCCGTAGTTATGGCAGAGTTTATTCGGTCAGAATCCAAACACTGTAGAATTTCTAGTTTATTTCGAGTAATACAAACTTTACATCCAAGTACCTCAGCTATAGCTTTTAAGACAAAAACAATGCACAGTTGGAAAAATATATTTTAAAAATCTTAGCTTTTGGTTTGTCTCTCCCATTTCTCTTCCAAATATCCAGTGTGAGATACAATTACAAGCCTATATTTATCTAAACTAATTACAAAATGGAGTAGAGCACATGGTCCAAGCCAGTCATGAAATGGAACTCAATGCCTTAAAGTGCATACCCAATTCAGTTACAGGTATTGAGCTTAGAGGATCCCATTAGAATCTTATTTCTTTGGAAAGCAAACATTCTAATATCTTAATCACATTTAGTCTTTCTTGTTCTACTAAAACCCAGGGAGTCTAGCTAAAATATCAACACCATACTAGAATATAAGGGACCACCCTGGATCAGTTATCAAGATTACCAAATTCACTATAAAAGAGATTGCCTTGTCAATTAACTGAATCGAGAAAGTACACCAATTTCTCCCTTTCCTCCAAGAAGGAAGTTCATGAATGGTTAATCATAAGACAAGCATCCTCTCTAGGTAGCAAAAGCATACAAACAAATCCTAATATGCAGCACAAGTTACCATAAGTGTATTTCCGTACTCTTGGATTCATATTTATATAGGTAGTGTCCATGCCTTTTGAATTTTAAATTCTTCCCTGAATCAAAAACTTTTTTTATTGTTTCGTGCAAGATTGTTTCGTGCAGCGTTTCCTATCTTTCCTTTGCTTTTGTTCTTTTCATAGTGGCTCATTTTCCTCTGAAAAGTAAGTTTTCTTTGACAAAATGTCAAAACGTAACTATACGTCTAATTTATCAATACCTAAAAATAAAATTCCAGGCACTCTTGAGACAGATCTGGTTACATTACATGGAATATAAATTCAGAGCAAAAGAATGTTCAGTTGGAGCTGACCAGATCAGGAGGCCTTGCCTTCATACTATCCCCTTAGTTCCTCCATACATGGTCACATTATTTTAGCTCTTGTCTTTCACATAGAAACTGACAAGTGTTCAGGTATTATGCTAGTAACTACATCCACCATTCATCAATTAATCCAATTTCAAAGTATTTTAACAATTCTATTGGTGGGGGGTGGGAGGGAAAGAGAGATGGAGAGATAACAGGCTTGGGGGGATTCTTCTTTTAAATGCATATACTGAATGTATATCACACTTTACGGAATCTTACCTAGGAAAACTCTCTCTTTTCCAATAGAATAAGTACCACAGACGATCAATGTCCTGGGATTCATCATTACAGTTTCAAAGGCAACATTAGCAACAAACTGGATGGTTTCTTGCTGTGAAGGAAAGGTGTATTCTGGATTGCAGTATCTACCAAAAGAAGCCAAATTACACCCAGAATGTAGTATTCTATTATCATGAACAATAAAAATATCAAATTTTCTTAGTAATGAATAACATTAGAAAGCATCCTTGTTATGTACTCTATTCTAATTAGTTTTTTGGAGACAGGTACGAGAAACACGAGTGGTGTTTCGAGATTAAATTATATTCGTAGTTCACAAATATTGCATAGTCATCAATGGAAAGAGTAAGAGTAAAACTGGAATATTTGTGTTTCCCGAAATTCAGCTTTATTGTTTTGTCTTTTTTTTGTCATGAAGGTAATGATGTGGCTGCACCATTCATCATCATTTAGTAGAAAATTCCTTACATACAATCCAAGTGATTGTGTTCTACATACCCATTTGGTTAACTAGCATCCATCACCAGTGAAAAAGCTCTACTCTTTCAGAAAAGGTTAGAGAATTCTGACACGAGTTCATCAGACAACAGCATGTCTTAGTGCAATTTCTTCAACAGTTTGCTCGACCGTTGAGCAGTTATTATTTAGAATGCTGACTTGCACAACAAGACATGCCAACCTGCCCATCTCTCCATCTACAACTTAGTGAGATGTTGCTTGCCTACTGCCACCACTTGCATTGTTGCAGCTGTTTATTTTTATTGCAATTGGTCCAGTTGATATCCCAAAGCTCACTCCATCCCTCCAAACAATGTTGTTGGTGTTTACATAGTGATGAAGTCTAGTGTTTACTGTGTTGTACCATTTTAGCAGATAACCAATTAAATAAAGGACACACAATTAAAGAAATGCACATTTTACTTCTAATTTACAAAGTAAAATTAAAACAAAATGCAAATATAAATACTTAAAGCACCTGCCTAATGACAATATCTATTACTCATCTTCAATTCATATGCTAGCTGCTAATGTATTGTACAACACTGGCTGGACAACACTGGTTTAAACCAAGACATTTTATCAGAAAAAATACCATTCTGATTCATGCAATAAACTTCTCTTACGTGGTATCCAGATAGAGAGTGTGAATCTTTTGCCCCACGAGATGAGTGTAGCGCTCCATGGAAGTATTAGCTCGAAAATCACCAGTATGTAACAATGTTTTACCATTTGGAAGCTGGAATAACAACATAACAGCACCTGGACAGCTGCAGAATATTTATACACAAGTCAAGTCAGAATAGCAGTTAGTAGTTTTATAGTACAAAACCTCTGTTCATGAACGATTTGAACAATACAAAAATTCAACATTAATTTTTTTTGCAATCCTTACTACCAAGCTTACTCCAGTATTTCTTTACAGGACGAAGTTCTCTAACACCATGAGAAATGAAAGAATCAGTAAGGGGAATATACAGGAATGGGAGTAAACCATTTAGCCCTTTGAACCTGCTCCACCTTCCAAAAAAAATTACAGCTGATAGGTGACCCAACTCCAAACAGACTTTTGTTTTACAAAGTCAGCTATTAATTATCGGTTCAAAATTATTTGACCAAGTGTCATTTTCATTTGCAGATCACTTCTTCAAACTTTTATTACCCTTTCCTAAAACCATTCCTGAAAGGTCTAGCTCTAATTTTGAGATTGTAGCCCGAATTACCCTCTAGCTAACAAACAAAGAATAGGTGGTTTCTACCCATCAGTTCCCCTTAGCTTAGAAATTTCAACCGAATTACTCCTTAACCTTCTAAATGCAGAGCAAGTACCACTCCAGTCTGTTTAATAAAAATCAGAACTATTGGAAATATTCAGCAGGTTTGGCACCATCTAAGGTGGGAGCACAATAGTTAACACTTCAAGTGCAATATGACTTCCGTGGCGTACAAAAAATAAGATTGTATGTTCAAATCATGGGGCTTGAACTCACTACACAGAGTCAAGACTGCAAGAATTAGAAAAGGTGGAAAAAGTGGGACTAGGCAAAAAACAGAATCTCTAGCCAGAAGCAAAGAATATGTTGCAGATCAATACAGAAATATCATAGCCTTCAGGGCTAGCAGACATTAAGTTGGACATTTAACAGATTGTGGGTGATAGTGGCTGTACATTTTGATGGAAGATATGTTAAAATACTTACTGGTTTGCATCCAAAAGGACTACCTTAATTCCATCCACAACACACTCAGTATTCATAGGCAGACTTGTGACATACTGTGCCTGCACTTTAAGCTTAGATATCACCAAATTGCTTGTTATCTGAAATTTAAAGGGGAATAAAGTTAATTGAATGATTTACTAAACTGCCCATCTGTTATGGTCATGTAAGCAAGTTGCTGCCTTCTAGCATCTTTTGCAGCTCCTGTTATTAATAAATTAGATGTTTGAATGAAATGGAGTTCACTGAATTAGTTGAACAAAGGTCTCAATCCTGGGGACCTAGCTCCAGCTCCCAGACATGTATGGGGGAAGGGGGTTTTGCAGCTAAAAACTAAAACTGGGAACACATCCTCCATGCTTTATTTTGCAAGCTCAGACACAGAGTTCCATTGCCTGCTTGTGTACAGCCAAACATTTCCATAATATATCATCCAAGTTTGATTAATCTCAATACTTTGATATTAAATTACTTGTTCCCAAGTCCAATTATGTAGAATATCATGAAGAACATTGGATTATCATGGACTGACGTACAAATAGATTTTTCAAAGAGTTCTAGAAGCAGCAATTCCTTGCAGGATAATATTTTTGAATGTAAAACATTTTGGTCATTAAATTTTAAATCCAAAATAATGATACTGCAAAAATTTAACTTGTTATAAACAATACCAAAAGGGATTTCTCAATGGATGGCACGGTTGGCTCTGCTGCTGAGCAGGGAAGGAAAAAGCTTGGGAAAGCTTTAGTGATAGGGGACTTAATTGTAAAGGGAACTGACAGGATGCTCTGTGGCCACAAAAATGACTCTTGAATGGTATGTTGCCCCCACTGGTGCCAGGGCCAGGATGTCTCAGACGTGGCTGTAGGGCATTCTGTAAGGGGAGGGTGAATAGCTAGTGGTAGTAGTAAATGTTGGTACCAATGATATGGGCAAAAAAAAAAAAAAAAAAGAGGTCCTGCAACAGGAATTTAAAGAGTTAGGTTGTAAATTAAAACAGGAGGACTAGGGATGTTGTAATCTTTGGATTACTTCCAGTGCCATGCACTACTGAATATAAGAACAGGAAGATAGGTCAGATGAACACGTGGCTAAAGGGATGATGTAGGAGGGAGAGTTTTAGATTTTTGGATCATTGTGACAGTTCATGGGGTAGGTGGGACCTGTGCAACCCATCCAGCTTGTACTTGAATTGGAATGGGTCCAGTATCCTTACTGGGTGGTTTGCTTGTGCTTTTTTGTTTGGGAAGTTGTCTGGGGGATTAGGCAGAGAATAAATATAAAGTCAGGAGCAAGGTTCAGTCAGATATAGAAGCAATACCAGGACAGTCCAGCATGCAGAGAAAACATGGGGCACAAAAAAGGACATGGGATGACCGGAAAGCTAAACTATATCTATTTTAATGCAAGGAGCCTGACCAGTAAAGTGGAAGAACTTACAGCATTGATCAGCTTGCAGGAATATGATATTATTGAAATCATGGCAGGATTGGCAGCTCAGCATTCCAGGGTACAGAAATTACAGGCATGATGAGAGGAATGTAAAAGAGGAGACAATTGACAAAGGAAACCATCATTGCAGTAATGAGGGAGGATGTCTTAGAAGCCTTTTCAAAAGAAGCAACTTGATAGAACTTAGAATCAGCAAAAAGGGGCGATCATGTTGCTGGGATTTTCTTTTTAATTTTTTGTGGGGTGTGGGCATCACTGGCCGGCCAGCATTTATTGCCTGTCCTTAATTGCCTTTGAGAAGGTGGCGGTGAGCTGCCTTCTTGAACCGCTGCAGTCCTCCTGCTATGGGTTGATCCACAATGTCATTAGGGACGGAATTCCAGGATTTTGACCCAGCAACAGTGAAGGAACACCAATATATTTCCAAGTCAGGATGGTGACTGGCTTCGGGAGGGGGTGGGAGGTGGCTTGTAGGTGGTGAAGTTCCCATACATCTGCTGCCATTCTCCTTCTAGATGGAAGTGGTTGTGAGTTTGGAAGGTGCTGACTGAGGATCTTTAGTGAATTTCTGCAGTGCATCTTGTAAATAGTACACACAGCGGAGTGTCGGTGGTGGAGGGAGTGGATGCAGTGCCAACCTGGGCTGCTTTGCCCTGGATGTTGTCAAGCTTCTTGAGTGTTGTTGCAGCTGCACACATCCAGGCAAGTTGGCAGCATTCCATCACATTCCTGACTTGTGCTTTGTAGATGGTGGACAGACTTTGAACAGTCAGGTGGTAAGTTACTCACTGTAGTATTCCTAGCTTCTAACCTGCTTTTGTAGCCAGTATTTATGTGGCGAGTCAAGTTGAGTTTCTGGTCAATGATAACCCCACGGTATTGACAATGGGGAATTCAGTGATTGTAATACTGTTCAACGCCAAGGGACAATGGTTAAATTGTCTCTTATTGTGATGGTCATAGCCTGGCATTTGTGTGGCATGAATGTTACTTGCCACTTATCAGTCCAAGCTTGGATATTGTCCAGATGTTGTTGCATTTGAACATGGACCGCTTCAGTATCCGAGGAGTCACAAATGGTGCTGAGCATTGCACAATCATTGGCAAACATCCCCATTTCTGACCTTATGAAGGAGGGAAAGTCATCGATGAAGCAGCTGAAGATGGCTAGGCCTAGGACACTACCCTGAGGAACTCCTACAGAGATGTCCTGGAGCTGAAATGACTGACCGCCAACAAACACGACCAACTCCCTATGTGTCAGGTATGACTCCAACCACCAGAGAGTTATTCCCCTGATACTCATGGATTCTAGTTTTGCTAGGGCTCCTTGATGCCATACTTGGTTGAATGCAATTTTGATGTCAAGGGCTGGCGCTCTTACCTCACCTCTGGAATTCAGCTCATTTGTCCATGTCTGGACCAAGGCTGTATTGAGGTCCAGAGAGGAGTGTCCCTGGCAGAACCCAAACTGGACAGGTCTTGCTGAGCAGGTGCTGCTTGGTAGCACTGTTGATGACACCTTCCATCACTTTACTGATGATGGAGAGTAGACTGTTGGGGCAGTAATTGGGCAGGTTGGATTTGTCCTGCTTTTTATGTTCAAGACATACTTGGGCAATTTTCCACATTGTCAGGTAGACACCAGTGTTGTAACTGTACTGGAACAGTTTGGCTAGGGGAACGGCAAGTTCTGGAGCACAGGTCTTCAGTACTATTGTCAGAATGTTGTCAGGGCCCATAGCCTTTGCAGTATCCAGTGTCTCCAACTGTTTCGTGATATCACGTGGCGTGAATCAAATTGGCTGAAGACTGGTATCTGTAATGCTGGAGACCACGAGAGGAGGTCAAGATAGTTCATCCAGTCAGCACTTCTGAAGCACTGCAAAAGCTTCAGCCTTATCTTTTGCACTGATATGCTGGGCTCTTCCATCATTGAGGATGGGGATATTTGAGCAGCCTCCTCCTCTAGGGAGTTGTTTACATGCCCACCACCATTTACAACTGGATGTGGCAGGACTGCAGAGCTTAGATCTGATCCATTCATTGTGGGATCGCTTAACTCTATCACTTGCTGCTTATGCTGTTTGGCATGGAAGCGGTCCTGTTTGGTGGCTTCACCAGGTTGACACCTCATCTTCAAGTGCGTCTGGTGCTGATTCTAGCATGCTCTCCTGCACTCTCCATGGAACCAGGGTTGATACTCTGGCTTGATGGAAATTGTTGAGTGGAGGATATACCAAGCAACGAGGTTACAGATTGTGCTGGAGTACAATTCTGCTGCCGCTGATGACCCACAGCACCTCATGGATGCCCAGTCTCAAGTTGCTAGATCTGTTTGAAGTCTGTCCCATTTAGCGTGATGACAGAGCCACAAAACATGATGGAGGCTATTCTCAATGTGAAGGCAGGACTTTGTCTCCATGAGAATTGTGCAGTGGTCACTCTTACTGACACTGTCATGGACGGATTTATCTGCAGCTGGCAGATTGGCAAGGATGAGGTCAAGTATGTTTTTCCCTCTTGTTGGTTACCTCACCACCTGCCGCAGACCCAGTCAAGCAGCTATGTCCTTTAGGACCCGACCAGCTTGATCAGTAGTACTGCTGCCGAGCCACTCTTGATGGTGGACATTGAAATCCCCCACCCAGAGTAAATTTTGTGCCCTTGCCATCCTCCAAGTGTTGTTCAACATGGAAAAATATCGATTCACCTGCTGAGGGAGGATGGTCTGTGGTAATCAGCAGGAGGTTTCCTTGCCCACGTTTCACCTGAAGCCATGAGACTTCATGGGGTCCGGAGTCAATGTTGAGGACTCCTTGAGCAATACCCTCCTGACTGTATACCATTGTGCCGCCACCTCTGCCGGACCTGTCATACCAGTGGAACAGGACATATCCACAGATGGTGATGGTGGTGTCTGGGACATAGTCACACTCATGGAATCATACCTTACAGACAATGTCAGGCTGTTGCTTGACTAGTCTGTCAGACAGCTCTTCCAATTTTGGCACTAGCCCCCAGATGTTCGTGAGGAGGACTTTGCAGAATCGACAAGGCTGTTTCTGCAGTTGACTTTTCTGGTGCCTAGATCGATGCCAGGTGATCTGTCTGGTTTCATTTCTTTGAGACTTTGTAGCGATTGGTACAACTGAACTACTTGCTAGTCCATTTCAGAGGGCAATTGAGAGTCAACCACATTGCTGTGGGTCTGCAGTCACATGTAGGCCAAACTAGGTAAGGATAGCAGATTTCCTTCCCTAAAAGGACATTAGTGAACCAGATGGGTTTTTCAGACAATCGACAATGATTTCATGGTGATCAGTAGATTCTTAAGTCCAGATTTTTTTTATTGAATTAAAATTCCACCATCTGCCATGGAGGGATTTGAACCTGGGTCCCCTGAATATTAGCCGAGTTTTATGGATTAATAGTCTAGTGATAATACCACTCGGCCATCACTTACCCCAAATCAGAATTTCTATACTTCCCAATAGTCAGAAGGAGACAGAGGAGCAGATATGTAGGCATATCACAGAGGTGTGAGAGGAGTAGGGATATAGTAGCAGGGGATTTCAACTTTGCTAATGTTAACTGGGATCGCATTAGCGTAAAAGGAATAGCCAGGGTGGAATTTTTAAAGTGCACATAGTAGACCTTTTCCTCAGGAATCATGCCAGTCAAGTGGTTTAAATGTCAGTGGGCAAACATTTTGGGTATAGTGACCATAACTCTAAGTTTCAAAGTCTTTGTGGAAAGGGATAAGGATAGTGTTGAAGTAAAGTATCTAAACTGGAGAAGGCCAATTTCAATACCTTTAGACAGGATCTGGTAAACAGACTGGGAGCAGTTACATGTAAGTAAGTCTACGTTTGGAAAGGGGAATCTTTTAAAAGTAGTATAGTGAATGTTCAGGGCCAGCACGTTCCTCTAAGTGGAAAAGACAAGGGCAGCAAGTCCAGGGAACCCTGGATGTCAAAGGATAGAGAGCTTGATGATGAAAAACGATGAAGCACATTAGGTACAGAGCATTAAAAACAGGGGAGGACTTCCAAGAGTATTTTGTGTATCCGGGGTTCTTAAAGAAATTAGGAGGACAAAGGGGGCTGCAAAATATTTTTGGCAGTTAGGATTAAAGGAAAATCCCAAGGTATTTTATAAGTACATTAAAAGTAAGAGGATTACCAGAGAAACAGTGGAGCTGATTAGAAACGAAAGAGGCAATCTGTGCATTGAGACAGAGGATGTGAGCGAGGTCTTAAATTAATATTTCTCATCTATATTCACAAAGGAGAAAGATATTGTAATTGGAGATTTCAGTTGGGATGGTGAGGTTCTAAAGCATGTTAAAATTAATAAGGAGGTATTAGATGTTTGAGCTGGCATGAAGATGCATTAATCCCCAGGGTCTAATGAGATGCATCCCAGGCTATGGGAAGCAAGAAAGGAGATTGCTGGGGCCCTGATGGAGACATTTAATATTTCACTGGCCACAGGTGAAGTGCCAGATGACTGGAGGATAGCTAATGTGGTTCTTTTGTTCAAGAAGGGCAGCGGGAATAGGCCAGGTAATTACAGATCAGTTAGTCAGACATCAGCGGTAGTGAAATTACTGAAAATAAATTCTGAAGGACAGGATTAATTGGAAAGAAGGGGAATGATCAGGGTTAGTGAAGATTTGTTGGAGGGAGACCCTGCCTAATTTGATTTAGTTTTTTTACAGAAAGGTGACTAATCACATTGATGACGGTAGTGTAGATGATGTGGTTTACAAGGGCTTCAGTAAAGTCTCTGGCAAGGTCCCACATGGAAGCTTGGTCCAAAAGGTAAGAGCCCATTGGATACAAGGCAAGTTGCAAATTCAATCCAAAATAGCCTTGCAAGTAGGAGACAAAGGATAATGGTGGAGGGTTTTTGTTTTGGTTGGAAGCCTGTGACCAGTGGTGTAGCACAGGGATCAGCGCTGGGACCTTTGCCGTTTGTTACGTACATTATGACTTGGATATTAATATAGAGGGTATAATTACTAAGTGTGCAAATGATACAAAAGTGGTGGTGTTGCTGATACTGAGGAGGATGGTCTCAGACTACAAATTTGATACTAACTAGCTGGTAAATTGGGCAGAGCAACAGCTGATGGAATTTAATCCTGATAAGCGTGGGATGATGCATTGAGAGGTCTAACAAGAGGTTCACACAACAAATAGTAGATCTCTAGGGAGTATTGAAGAACAAAGGGGGCCTTGGTGCACAAGTCCTTAGAACCCCAAAATTATCAGCATAGGTAGATAGAGTAGTGAAGAAGGCAGCTAGGATGCTTGCCTTCATTAGCCGGGGTGTAGAATATAACAGCAGTGAAGTTTTTTGGAACTCTATACAGCATTGGTTAGGCTGCAGATGGAACACTCTGCTGTTCTGGTCACAACACTACCAGAAGGTCATGATTGCACTGGAGAAGATGCTGAGGAGATTCACCAGGACGTTGCCTGATTTGGAAAGTTTCAGTTATAAGGAGAGACTGGAGAAGCTGGATCTGTTTTAGAGTCGTACAGCACGAAACAAAACCATCCGTCCAACTCATTCACGCCGAACAAGTTTGCCAAACTAAACTAGTCTCATTTGCCTCCTTTTAGCCCATGCCCCTCTAAACCTTTCCTATTTATGTACCTATCCAAATGTCTTTTAAAATGTTGTAACCGCACATGCAACTACCCCTTCCTCTGGCAGTTCATTTGACATACGAACCACTCGGAAAAAGTTGCTCCTCAGGTCCCTTTTGAATCTTTCTCCTCTCATCTTAAAAATATGGCCCCAAATTTTGAACTTCTTTCACCCTAGGGAAAAGATATTTGCCATTCACCCTTTCTACACCAGTCATGATTTTATAAACCTCTATAAAGGTCACTCTTCAAACACCTGTGCTCCAGTGAAAAAAGTTCCCGCCTATCCTTATAACTCAAACCCTCCAAGTCCGGCAACGCCCTGGTAAATCTTTTCTGAATCCTCTCCAGTTTACTAATATCCTTCCTAAAAACAGGGCAACCAGAACTGCACACAGTACTCCAAAAGTGGCCTCATCAATGTCCTGTACAACCTCAACATAACATCCGAACTACTATACTCAATGATCTGAGCAACGAAGGCAAGCATACTAAACTACTTAACCCTATCTAGTTGTGATGCAACTTTCAAAGAACTATGTATCCAAACCCCTAGGTCTCTCTGTTCAACAACACTATCCAGGGTCCTACCACAAACTGTGTAAGTCCTGCTCTTGTTTGTTTTACCAAAATGCAAGATCTAACATTTATCCAAATTAAATTAACCTAAAAACGTTTCCTGGGCAGAGGAGGCTGACAGGGGATCTGATTGAGATATACAAAATTAAGACAGGCATAGATAGGGTAGATCGTGAGCATCTTTTTACCATGGCAGATGTACCTAAGACCAGAGGACATTGATTGAAGGTGAGGAGTGGATGGTTTAGAGGGAATGTGAAGAGATCAGAGGGTGATAGAAATATGCCTGAGAGGGTGGTGGAGGCAGGTACTCTCACAACATTTTAGTAGTATCAGGATGAGCACTTAAAATTCCAGGGCAGATTAGGCTATGGATCAAGAGTGGGTAAATGGGATCAGTATAGTTTGGTGTTTGTTGGTCAGCACAGACATGGTGGGCTGATGGTCCTGTTTCTATGCTGTTTGACCAAGACAAATGCTTATAGGCATAAATATACTAAAAATAGAAAATACAAGTAGAGAAAGGAAAATGCTGGGAATACATAGCTGGTTGGGTGTCACTCAGGAAAGGTCTTCAACTTGAAGCATTAATGGTTTCTCTCCATAAATGCTACCTGATCTGTTGAATAGTTCCAACCTGTTTTTTTTGGATTTCCAATATCCTCAGTATTTTATTTCCATTTTTCCACAATACAGAATTATTAAACAGAAATCGCTATCCAGCCACAGATGTAGTTAAAACCATGTCACTATAGCCACAAGGACTAACTTTAATAGGAAACACTCTAGATTTGCTCAGAATACAGGTACATATACCATTCCGTATTAAGAGATGTGAAGCATTGTCCAATCAAAAAAATACTGATATTCTTTAAAATGAAATGCAAAGCGTAAGTACATTCATTACATGACCAACTATAGTTAAAAAAAACAAAATCACACATCAATCAGAAATGCAATCATCGAAGATAACACAGTGTGGAGCTGGAGGAACACAACAGGCCAGGCAGCATCAGAGGAGCAGGAAAATTGATGTTGCGGTTCAGGACCCTTTGACCCAAAATGTCAACTTTCCTGCTCCTCTGATGCTGCCTGGCCTGCTGTGTTCCTCCAGCTCCACACCACGTTATCTTTGACTGCAGCATCTGCAGTTCTTACTATCTCTGCAATCATCCAAGGCTAGATTCCCAATAAGCCAGATGGCTAGCAGCTACCACACAGCTATGGCGCAGTGTGGAAATCAAAATTTGTGTTTCAAATGAATAATATATGAGAGATTCTTTTTCAAATTCTACTTAACTTACTGTGCTGCAGTAAATAGGACATTTGAAATTCTTGGTAAGGCCTCCATAATGATCTGAATGAAAGTGAGTCAGGAAGTAGGCAGTACAACCCTCAATATCACCATATTGGAAGGCATCCACTGTGAAATTAGTTCCTTCAAGCACAAAAATCAGTTATGAAGACAGATTTCTTGCTGCTGTATAACACAAATATTGATGACTTATCAAAACAGTCAAAAATCATAATACAAAGGGAAATCTGACAGATAGGCAAGGACTGTTTCTGGGAAGGAGTGTGGAGAAGACTAAAATGGAGGAAGGTCTTGGGGGGCCTGTGTTCATTCAAAACTCTTAAATCACACGAAAATCTGTTAATCCACCACCCACTGCTGACTTATACTAACTCTGAATCCAAAAACTGCTTAATATAAATCCGTAATCTTACTCTCTGCCACTTCTAACTTCATCCAGCTCTACAAGCCTTCAAGATCTCTACAGTCCACTATCCTGGATTTTAAGTTACTACCATTGATGGATATGTTTCCAGCTTCCTGGATTCTTTAATCAAATTCTTCTTTTCAACCTCTCTTCTGGTCCTTAATATATATATTTTTGATCACGTTCGGGCCATCTCTTCTCTTTCCCTCTGGTCTGATAACAAATACTATAAATAAAAATAATACAAAGCTAACAATACTAATACTATATAATACTAATAATAAACTACCTAGCCACCATCAGTTGTGAAGGATCACTGGACACAAAACATTAACTCTACTTTCACAGCGCAAACCAAAGGAACATCATCTCATCTTCGCACTAGGCACTTTGCAGCCTTCTGGACCTAATATTGAGTTCAACACCTTCAAATTGTGAACCAACTCTTCCCTTTGTTTTAGCTTTACTTTTCACATTCTATGTCACCATGTCCTCTCTCTACTCTCCCCACTCCATCAGGACTGTCTGCTTTTTCAAGTCTGGCAGCTACACACACCATTGTTCTGCCCTTTTTACATTCTGATCACTTAATTTGAAGTATCAGCTTCTCCACCAGCACTCTACACCCCACCAGCCCCACAACCTCCTCGCCCCAAACTAGAATGTAAATGCTGCCTCCTCCACACTTCACTTCTGATGATGAGTCACCTAGACTGGAAATGTTGGCTTGTTCTCTCTCCACGGATGCTGTCTGACCTGCTGTGATCTCCAGCATTTGTTTTCAACTGTTTTCTCTCCACTGATGCTGCCAGACATATTCAGCTTTTCCTACAATTTCTGTTTTTGTTTCTGATTTCCAGCATCTGTGGTTCTTTCGGTTTTACATAAATACAACTGGTTATTGCTTTAAAAGCACTTACAGTCGCACACAACACAAGGTTTCTTTTCTATATCAGAGATATAGCCAACTTTTGCCTTTTTCACAATTTGGTGCTCAGCCTCTTAATGCTACCAAAAGACTATGTCTTCCAAACTAGTGTACAATATTTGTGACAGTTATGTATTAAGCAGAAAAGAACATTCTTGCATTTCTATTATACCATCCTCCCCAAATTACGTTCATTCAAGCACTGGGAGAAGGGAAATATCCAAAACAGGGGAAGGGAAAAGTCCAGGGGGAGATGGGAAGAGAATGTAGTGAGCTTTGGTCTCCATTAATACTTCAGATAGCAGATACCACAAAATACATCAACCTTGAAAATACAAAAGCTTTAAAAGTGAAGCGCTGTTCACAAGAGTGTAAATAATGAGGTGACAGGGAGAAGACAGTAGGTAGAAGCGCACTGTTGGTGGTGATTGAGCAGGTGTAGAACAAGGGACCACAGATCCAAAACGAACTGCAAAGAGTCAGAAGAAAAAATAAAAGATTTCTTTATGCAAACAACTGAGGGATTTGAAACACCCACTCCAGATATTTTGATACAAAAGATTACGTTGACCAAATAGATGAAAATGAGTAATAAAATAGTATGGAACTGAAGTATAGACCGTCTGCTTACAAGAGGGGAAGTGTAAAAGAGGGCATGGGCTGAACACTTGTTTATGTTGAAACTTTACGTATTTAACCAACAAATTACAATTTATTAGGGGATGAACATATAAATCTCCTTAATTAACTTTTAAAATTTACATTTGTTCCATCTTTCCAATTGGACTAACAGTTAAACAGCATCAGAGTCCAACTACATCTGAACAGTTACCCCTATCTGTTGCTTGCAAATTAAGGCAGATATAAACAAGTGGCACATCAGCACTAGAGTTGAAAACTATTTCAACCTTTATATTCTTCAGACTCATACAATTAAGTAATAAAATGATTATGATTATAAAATGTTGTAAACATGTAAAATTACATTTTCCTATGCTACACAAATATATCATGACATAGTTGCTCATAATTTGACACCTAGCTACCATCTAAAACAAATAAACTGGTCACAAGCAAAGCATAGAATTGATGGTTTACCTGGAATTTTCTTGTAAAAAGGACACTGCTTGGCTTTTTTATGTGTGCTTACTCCATTTCTTTGCCTTTTTGTTCTTCCTCGTTGTGCATCACTTAGTTCCGTTTGAAGTTTGTCTACAGTGCCTATGCAAGCTTCATCACCTACAGAGTTTTCTATTTTCCTCTTTCTTTGTCTTTGCCTTCTTTCATTATATGAAAGCTCAGAAACCAATTCATTTGCTTTTCCTTGAGGTATGTTTTTTGGACATTTTTGTTCATCTTTGATTTTGGGTTGAAATCCAAAAAAAACTCCAATATCAGTTTGCTTTAATTCTTTATTTAAATCTCTCCTTTTGGGGATTTTTATAGGACCTCTATCCAATAAGCCCAGTGATGCCATTTCCAAAGTTGTTGTTCTACTCTTTTGAAGTCCAATGCTTTTTGAAGAAATAAGAGCTTCAGAATGGCAACTACGCTGTTTTACAACATTCAATGAAGGTGAAATTAAGGAATACTGAGGCAATGATGTCTTCACAGAACAACCAAAATGATCTTCCTCTTCTCTTCTTGCTAGGCAATCATGAAGCTCCTGCACAATAGAACTTTGAGCAAGCTGGAATGATTTGGTTGGTTCTTGCTTAACTTGAGTAGATTCTGGTAAACTGGTTGGTTCTTGTTTAATTTGAAGAGGCTTCTGTAAGCTATCAGAACTTAAGGGGACTGATTCCAATTTAATCAAGTTTGACTCTGTTAAATTAGTTTGTGACCAATTCCTCATCTGTTTCATCTCCTCATTATCCAATGGAATCCTGCTACAAGCTTTTGCTTGGTGTGCTTGTGTTGCAATACCTATTCTATTTTTAGTTAGAATGTTAGCACTGTCAGTTAATAGACTGGAATCTAGATCAATAGCAATAGTCTTAAAGTCAGTTGTGATTGTGTCCTTAAGACCACAGGATTTATGAACCAATTCTTGCCTATGGTTATTAACCTCTACAGAGCTAGAACAATTGCTGTCTTCAAGTTTACAATTATGTTTAATAGTTTGACCATGAAACAATCTTCTCCTTGTTGAGGATAATCTTTTTTGATCTGGAATTTCATTACAACGAAGTGGAGAGTAACTAATATCATCCTTGTTATTATTACTGGCATTTGAACCAAGAACAGAAGTAGATTTATCTTCTAGAAGACTGTTTAGCTTTACTTTTGTACTGTTTACATTAAAAAATCCATCCGTACTAATTCCAGGTTCTATCTCCTTTGTTAACTGTGATGCTGAATGAGGCAATCTTCTGTGTAGGCTACTGGGTGATGCTGCAGACACATCTCCTCTTGAAACATTTTCAGAAGAAGAAGTGCTTACTTTTACTGCTCTTGCTGCTTTGAATTTACTTGAGCTTTTCTCCTTGACTTTGAAGGCAGGAGATTTTAGCAGCAGGAGGGCATTTTGATTTTTGTTTGTCAGATGTTCTTGAATCCAAGGAGATTGATTGTTCTGTAAAGACTGATGATTATTGTTAGGATCTGGTGAAATTGTGAGGGCATCCCCTATTGAACTATGCAAAAATGTAGACTGAACACCACTCTGGCCCAGTGCTCTACTTTCAGCAAGCAGCAAATGGGAATATCGTTTGTAGTGTCTTGGAATTGTATTGTTGCAAAGCAAGCCATCAGGGCATTCTGAAAAATAACGTGAATCATCTTGAAATGGAATCTTATTAACTTACTATGCAATGAGATGTCTTAAAGAGATCTGCTGTTAATGACCAAAATATATTAATTTTCTCATTTATATAACCTTAAAATTGAAATTACTTTGATCACAGTTTCTATCCTCAAATAGAACAGCCATTACTGATCTAATGCATCATGACAGTTTACTGTGTGCTGGTCATTCATGTGCAAAATCAACAGCTAGTGCTACATAGAATCAGCAATTAAATAAATGAAAATGCTTTTGTTGATGTATCTCACAAGGTTCTCAGATTTGAGTGATGAGTTTTCCACTGACTCCGCACTTTGGGGAGGCCAGTGAGATGATATAAATATACAGCACTCTCTTTGTTTTGTCATGCACACGTCACAATTAATGAACTCCAGAATGTTATGGAAGAGGATAAGACCATAAGATCATAAGACATAGGAGCAGAAATTAGGCCATTTGGCACACCAAGTCTGCTCCGCCATTCAATCATGTCTGATACGTTCCTCAACCCCATTCTCCTGCTTTCTGCCCGTAACCCTTGATCCCCTTGATAATCAAGAATCTATCTATCCCAGTCTTAAATGTACTCAATGACCTGGCCTCCAAAGCCTTCTGTGGCAGTAAATTCCATAGATTCACCACTCTTCTGGCTGAAGTAGTTTCTCCTTATCTCCATTCTAAAAGGTCTTCCCTTTACTCCAAGGCTGTGCCCCCAGATCCTAGACTCTCCTACCAATGGAAGCATCTTCCCAACATCCACTTTGTCCACGCCATTCAGTATTCTGTACGTTTCAATTAGATCCCCCCTCATCCTTCTAAACTCCAATGAGTATAGTCCCAGAGTCCTCAAACATTCCTCGTATGTTAAGCTTTTCATTCCTGGGACCATTCTCGTGAACCACCTCTGAACCCGCTCCAGGGCCAGTACATCCTTCCTGAGATATGGGGCCCAAAACTGCACACAATACCCCAAATGTGGCCTGACCAGAGCCTTCTAAAGCCTCAATAGTACATCCTTGCTTTATATTGAAGTCCTCTCAAAATAAATGCCAACATTGCATTTGCCTTCCTGACTACTGACTCAACCTGCAAGTTTACCTTGCCAGAATCCTGGACTAGAACTCCCAAGTCTCTTTGCACTTCAGACTTCTGAATTTTCTCCCCATTTAGAAAATAGTCCATGCTTTTATTCTTCTTACCAAAGTGCATGACCTCACACTTTTCCACGTTGTACTCCATCTGCCAATTCTTTGCTCACTCTCCTAACCTGTCCAAGTACTTCTGCAACCTCCCCACCTCCTCAATACTACCTGTCCCTCCACCTATCTTTGTATCATCTGCAAACTTAGCCAGAATGCCCACAGTTCCTTCATCTAGATCATTAATGTACAAGGTGAAAAGTTGTGGTCCCAGCACAGACCCTTGCGGAACTTCACTTGTCACTGGCTGCCACCCTGAGAAAGACGCCTTCTTGAAGTCCAGGTAGTTAACATCCATTGGCTCTCCTTAGTCTACCCTGCTCGTTACTTCCTCAAAGAATTCTAGCAGATTTGTCAGGCATGACCTCTCCTTGATGAAACCATGCTGACATTGCCCTATTTTACTATACACTTCCAAATATTCACCAATCTCATCCTTTACAATGGACTCCAAAATCTTACCCACGACTGAGGTTAGGCTAATCGGCCTGTAATTTTCCATCTTTTGCCTTACTCCCTTTTTAAACAGGGGTGTCATGTTAGCCATTTTCCAGTCCTCTGGGACCTTTCCTGACTCTAGTGATTCCTGAAAGATCACCAGTAACACTTCCACTAGCTCTTCAGCTATCTCCTTTAGAACTCTGGGGTGTAGTCCATCTGGTCCAGGTGATTTGTCCACCTTCAGGCCAATCAGTTTTACTAGCACCTTTTCCTTGGTGATGGCCACCATACTCAGCTCTTCCCCCTGACTCTCTTGGATTTTTGGGATATTACTCATGTCTTCCACCATGAAGACTGACACAAAGTAATTATTCAGTTCCTCAGCCATTTCCTCGTTCCCCACTACCATCTCTCCATCATCATTTTCCAGTGGTCTAATGTCCACTTTTGCCTCTCTTTTGCCCTTTATATACCTAAAGAAACTCTTACAGTCTTTATTTATATTACCGGCTAGCTTACCCTCACATTTAATCTTCTCCCTCCTTATTTCTTTTTTTTGTTCCCCTCTGAAGGTCTTTGTAAGCTTCCCAGTCCTCTGGTTTCCCACTACCCTTCGCCACATTACATGCTATCTAATTTGCTTTTATGCTATCCCTGACTTCCTTAGTCAGCCATGGTTGCCTCATCCTCCCCGTACCATGCTTCTTTTCCCTAGGGATGAATTTTTGCTGCGTCTCCTGAATTACTCCCAGAAACTCCTGGCATTGCTGTTCTATTGTAAGGTTTTGGAGTAGATTTGTAGCTCGGTAGGCTCCTCTTCCAGTCAACTCTGCCCAGCTCCTCCCTCATACCGCTGTTGTCACCTTTATTCAGCTGTAATACCATTACCTCTGATTCTATCTTCTCCCTCTCAAATTGCAGAATAAATTCGATCATCTTATGATCACTGCCTCCTTTTGGAGTCCCAAGGATATTGGGAACTTGTTAAAAACAGCTGCTTGGTTCATATGGCAAAGATCCCATCACTGCTTAGAGGTAACCATAAATATTCAGGAGCTTGGTGACATCTACTGTAACTCACACCTTGCAATTTATTGCCCAAGATCATTGCTATGTACCTCCAAGATAGCCAATTACTTCCTTAAAACTAGCAATTTGTTGGGCACACAACTCCTCTGAACGATTCTCAAATAACAAGCACTACCTATGCCCTTTTGTAGTGCAGTGGTAGTACCCCTACCCTGGACCAGGAGGCCTGGGGTCATGTCCCACCTGCTCCAGAGGTGCGTGATAGAAACTCTGAACAGGTGGATTAAAATAAAACAAACACTGCCTTTAGATTCTCTTGGAGGATAATATGGACTCAAAATGAATGCCATATAGTAACCTGAAAGCTTCAGAAACTGAATTACCTTGATTTTAGAGCCTTTTCAAATTAGCATTAGTGCAAAAAAAAATCATTTTGCATTTTAGAATGGAACTTTTTCAGTGACATCACTTACATGGTAAAATCTGCAACTACGAACCTGTAATTCTGAAGTCAATTCTCTTGAAGGAACCAAGGGTAATAAAGGAGTAGCAATGCAGGAAATAAAGGGAAATAGAAGGAAAAAAAGGAGAAACGAAAAGAAAAAGAGAGCAAAACCAGTATAAGAAGTAAAGAAACACCAAATTGTGCTTCTTAAAAAAAGGCAAAGGAAAACAGAAGGCAAATACTTACTTGTGGAATGGACATCCAGTGATACTGTTGCAGAACCACAGCTATTCAAACAAGGTATGCTGTCTATTTTACAAATGAAAGAATAGATGATCCCGAGAAGACAGATCTGAAAATTTTGCTTGCATCAACAAGAACAAGGCTTTACAGAATTAACACATCTGAACTTTCAATTGGGAATCAATAAAATCCAGAAAAGATTTGGAAAGATCTCAAAGACCAGATCAAGGCATGAATTAACAGACTTTAACTCATGTCAGACTGACTGAAACCCTAAGGGTTTACTGGAAAAATGCTATGGCAATGGGTCTGAGTCAGAGTGCTTTTTGAAGAGCATAGAACATAGAACTGTACAGCACAGTACAGGCCCTTCGGCCCATGATGTTGTGCCGAACTTTTACCCTAAACCTAAGATCTATCTAACCTCCACCCCTACCTTATACTATCATCCATATGCCTATTTAACAGCCGCTTAAATGCCCCTAATGAGGCCGACTCTACTACCCGCTCCGGCAATGCATTCCACGCCCCTACCACTCTGAGTAAAGAACTTACCTCTGACGTCTCCCCTAGATCTACCTCCACTCACTTTAAAACTATGCCCCCTCATAATAGCTACCTCCACCCTAGGAAAAAGTCTCTGGCTATCCACTCTACCTATACCTCTGATCATTTTGTACACCTCTATCAAGTCACCTCTCATCCTTCGTCGTTCTAAAGAGAAACGCCCTAGCTCTCTCAACCTTTCTTTGTAAGACCTTCCCTCCATTCCAGGCAACATTCTGGTAAATCTCCTCTGCACCTTTTCCAATGCTTCCACATCTTTCCTGTAATAAGGCAGCATTTAAGCATTTGAACATTGCAGGGAGCAGTGATACCGTGTTAGAGAACAAAGGCTTCTAATTGCTTGCCTCAGCACACTGATTTGGTGGTTGCCTCTTTTTTCGGCAAGAAAAAAGGCCATACCATTGACACATTAGTTGAGGATGGTCACAAGTATGAAGCCGTTGTGACAGGCCAACAATAATGTCATGATTTAACAACAGTCAATGCTATTGATACTATCAGCAAAGTACTCCAAACCAAGAAAATCTGTAATGGGTGAGGCTTCTCGGACCTACCCAAAAGCTGTCCTGCTTTTATGAATAAAAGACTATAAGGCAGAGGAGCAAAAGTAGGCCATTCAGCCCATCGATTATGCACTGCCATTCAATGAGGTCATGGCTGATTTGATAATCCTCAATTCCATTTTCCTGTCTTTTCTCCATAACCTTAGATTCCCTTACTGATTAAAAATCTGTTGATTTCAGCCTTGAATGTAATCAATGATCCTCATTAGCCCTCTGCTGACAGATTCACTACCAGTGTTCCCTCTAATTTTGGCCAATCTACACAACTTCTCCTCATAAGGCAGTACCTCCGTAACTGGTGTCAGCCTAGTGAACCTTCTCTAGATTGCCTCTAAACCTAGTATATCTTTCCTTAGATATGGGGCCCAAAAGCATTCACAGTATTTTAGTTGTGCTTTGTATAGTTTCAGCAAAACCTCCCTCATTTTATAATCTATTCCCTTGAAATAAAGGCTAACATTCAATTTGCCTTCCCACTACTTGTTGAA